AGTGCAGTGGCACAGTCTCAGCTCACTGCAACCTCCGTCTCCCAAGTTCAAGTGATTCTCATGCCTTGGCCTCCCAAGTAGCTGAAATTATAGGCTCACACCACCATGTCTGGCTCATTTTGTTGTTTGTAGTAGAGACAACCGGATTTCACGATGTTGGCCAGGCTGGTCTTGACCTCCCAAAGTGCCAGGATTACAGGCGTGTGCCACTGTGCCCAGCCTCTATTCTATTTTTGATGGCTTTTTTATTCATAAGTATTCTTAATGTTTTAAATATTCCAGTTAAAAGTACGTATTTTTCCCTTTATGTTTTCCCCCAGTATACTTACTCTTCCTTTATGACCAAAAATTCTTTGAATTTGCATCCAGAAATGGCTCACAGAAAGAGCTCCTTTGTATTTATTTAGGGCATGGTGGGGCTTTTTGTTAGTTTCCAGGTCATGCCACATCTGGAAGGAAAGACACCTTTTATTTACTAATTTCAAAATCTATAAAAGCAGAATCAGTATTGTAAAGGGTTGCATATATTCCTATGCAAAGTTAAAAATGACACACTACTCCAACTTTGGTAAATGTGTGCACTTTTTAGTTTTTGAAAGAACTGCAAAAATCTCCGAAAAATCTGGACTAATCACAATTTGAAATTTTTAGTATATCTAGTAGATATCTTTTAAAGATATAACTCATCTTTTCCCAAACTTGATAAGTATAAATCCTCTCTTTCCAAATTGTGAGGAATATTATGATTATATCATATAAAATAAATATAGAAACGTGTGGGATAAATGATCTTCCAGAGTATGGCATATATCACCAGATAATACTCTAACTAAATACAAGGACACAAAACTGGACTTTATTATATTTCTGTAACTGGAAATACTCTTCTGGTTTTTGCTTGTTTATTAAATTAGTATGCTGTTAAAGATTTCGTTATGTTGTAGATCTTGATTATGTTGGAATTATTAAAAATAAGGCATCTTTCATCTGTACTGCTTATTTCCAATAAATTATTTAGCCAAATGAGAGCCAGTTTGCCAGTTTTTTGCTAAAGGAAATGAGCCAGTGGCTACCTCAGTTGTATTTATCATTGCCTTTTATGGTAAACATTTAAAATGTGTTTTTAATGGTGTGCATGCCAATGTTTCTGACCTCTATAGTAGCATAAGTATTTGAATAAATGTGAGGTAAATGAGAAGTCTGTGCCGCCCAGTACCATCACAAGTGTACCTAATTAAGAAGCTGTTTGGAATTCACTGCTCTTTGATATCTTGGGTGGGAGAGAATATTCTGGACGTGATTAAGGAACCGTTACCATGACAATCACATTCAAAGAATTGAGAGGAGACAATGAGTCTGTGGGGATCATCTCTTTTGATTGATTTGACTCGTCTTTTAAGTTCATTCAAACAGCTGTTGTCTCCGGATTTTCTTTTCCACGTAATTCACCCAATTGATTGGTGATATGGGGATCATTGAAGCTTGGTGGTCAGTAGTGACAGGATCAGCAGTGTCCATGACCAAAATACTTTTGCTAAACCTGAAGGAGAGTGATTGTACGTGTTAAATGTCATTAAAAAGTAACTCCTGGCTTCTTCGGGAATAATATAAATGGTTTGTCTTTCACTTATTAATTATGTCAGGGTGGGATAAGATTACCATGATCTCGTTGAAAGCATGACTGACTCTAAAGTGTTTGGGCTTTATTTTGGATTACTTTGCTGTCATCTTACCCAGTGTGTTTGGCTGCTGTTCTGCTTTTATTCTTTGCCTTGTGCAATATTGTCAATGTAATTTGTATGATGTTCTGGTCAGAGACACAGTTACACGCTGCAGATTGAAAAGTACACACAAATAATATCTACCGTTAGTGTCTTCAGCCTCATGACCCCAGCTAATGTTAAGTGGGACATGTTAAGTACAGATGGTAAAGTGAAATGGAGATATAAAGGCAGTTCAGATCTCACTGTCAGTTTTTCTCCTTCTTTGTGCACTAATTCTGAGTGGAGAAACCATGAACTATGGAAGGAAAACTGCTCCAGCAGGGGCTTGAGTTGGATCTCATGCCAGAGCTTTGCCAACTTAGCCTTTGGGACTTTCTCTCTTCTGCCCTCTGGAGGGTGTCAGAGAACATTAAATGCAAGGACTTTCTGGAAAGGATAGCCAGGATTTGGTCTGGTTACTAGAAGACACTTTACCTGTTCTCTTCCTCCCTGTAGCCCCTCCAAGCTGGAATGTGTAGAGGAAAGGAACAGACAGAGAGATGGCAGGGAAGCCATTAGCAAGGTGGGAATCTTATGAAGGACGTGATTTTGGTTCTTGAAAAAGAGAACTAGAGTCCATCAAGTAGAATCAGTATGAATATCTCTAGGAAAAATCAATTCCAGAAGGGTAAGATGAAATATGCTAAAGGTAGTATGTGACAGATTCAGGTTTGAAGCTTCACTTGAATTGAATCTAAAGAGATATATTTGGTGCCAGGTGTCAGTGGCGGCATATGAAGTCATTACCCACGTTTGATACCTGTTTGATTCTTTGCCTGCTATGATAATAGTGCCAAGTATGTATTTAACATTCAGTAGTTACCTTGTGTGGGGGAGGCACTGCTAAATGCTTGCATGCAGGTACCTCCCTATCTCTATGAGGTAGGTTGCCATTATGATGCTCATAGAGGCTGGACAGCTAATATGAGGTGGAGCCAGTATTTGAGCCCAGGCAGTCTGACTGTGGTGCCCCTGCTGTGAACAGCTGTGCATGCTGCATTCCTCCTGCATCTGCATGAAAGGGTGTGGAACCTTCTAGAAACAGTGAGTTCCAGAAGAGTGAAGTGTGGTGGTAGGAGATGAGATGGAGTAGAGCCTTTTGTGTAAAAATACCATGCTAAGTACTGGGAGATAGAAATGAAGTCAGACACTTTTGTTTTTGCCAACTTGGTACATAACATCTTACAGGACAAACAAAACCTAACATGAGCCAATCCAGATTCGTAAGATAGAATATGAAAATATTGTCTCTATTTAAGCACAGGTGGGAGGAGGACTAGAAGGAGTTCCTTTGAATTAAGGCACTTTAAAACATTTGCTTTCAAATTTTAGCGCTTCACCTCAGGAGCAAAATTTGCCGCCTTTTAGGCTTTTGGCCTGGCAGACAAGAACCTCCCCGTCCCTATGGTCAGCAGATTTGCCCATTTTGAGTTGGGAAGCATTGTCTTCAGCCTTGTCTTCTTGACAATCCTGACAGTGGTCATCAGGATCTCTAAAAGATGAACCCATTAGCCTAGTGAACCAACTGCCCCGGCTGTTTATTTACCAGCACATTCACAGTTTTTCCGTCTATAACCACTGCCTGTGTGAAGGTCAGCCTGGAAGTGGTTGGAGGGTGGGGTGGGATGGGTGATTACACACCTGGCTATAATCCTTGGTTAATTTTTGCCCTGTTTTCATCCACACTTCTGTGTCTGCTATGTGCCAGGCATTGACCTGGGTGTGGGGACAGAGCAGTGCAAAAACAGACAGGGTCTTCTGCTCAGGGCACTATGTTTTCCTCAGATTTCATTCGCTCATGTACATTTTCATGGTTGATCTGAAAGCGGCCTTTGGTGTGAATTCTAGGATTTCACACTTTTGTGATAATGCAGTGATCACACTCCCTTTCTGCTTTGCCCCAGCCAGTCCTTTCTGAATAAAGGTCAGGTGATTGGGGGAGGAAGATGGTGATGTGAATGGGCCTGTGGGGAGATTGCAGGGGCTTGGAGAGGGCAGCGTGTCGTGGCGGGCTGTATTTGTGTGTCGGGGATGGGAATGGCACAGGGCACACCTGTTTCCTAGTGCTGCAGAATCCTCGCCCTGAGATGAGCCTGCCCACTAGCCCGCATCCTAATCCTGCTGTTGATTGGAGATAACTTCAGCGGTCACAGGGCACCTCGTCTCCATGGCAACCCCTCTAAATATTCCTCTGGCGACTTGTGCTCTACATTCTGGCTGGATCCGAGCCCTCCTGTGGCAAAATATTCTAAAGATGTTAAAAGAGGAAAAAAAAAGGCTCAACTAATAAATCTATTCTAAACGACTGAGTCATTTGTTTTGATTACCCGGGTGATTGCCAAATGTTAATTTAAAACTGAAATAGGCCATGAGCTCACTCCCTTAACAATGCGAGTGTTTGAGCTAATACAGCTTGATAATGAGGGAGCCAGATCCACTGCCAGTGCTCATGTTATATGATAAACAGACATTTGGAGAAATATGCAGAACATCTTGGCAGTTTTCCTTTCACTGTAAGGGTTGTAAATACAAAGTAGAATGTGTTACCATGAGCCATTTCAAAGGAAGTTGACTTGATTTTTTTAGAATTCAGAACTTTGCTTCTAAAAAGGTAACTTTGCCTCTTGATTCTCATTTTTTCCCTAACTTAGGCACCTTGGGAGTTGTTTTCAACCGTATCCACCCCTTGCTGAATACATTCTATCTGCCACACATCCAGTGTGAGGTAAGTTTCACTAATTGCCACAAATTCTTATACTGATCGCCAACCTTCCAAGTTGTGGTCTTAGGGGTGGCATTGTACAAAGGGCTTTATTTGTAAAGGAGGTTTCAGAAGGTTCATTTTAATTGACCCAGCCAATATCACTGCTTACCCTAAATATTAGCTCTTAGGGAGAATGCCTTTTCAAGGGAAAATCTCATTTGCTTTCAGCTTGGGGCTATGTAAAGGGAATTTGCCAGGCACAACAAAACTGTTCAAAGATCTGCTTGAAAATAAAGATCTGCTCGTGTCGCTGCATGAACAGTAGGGAGCAGGAAAGCTGCATGGAGCAAATACGGGGACAGGAGGGAGGAGAGTCCTGCTGCCAGCCAGGAGAAGGTTAGGGTGACCTGATCAGCTATTAGGAATCTTTCTCTGTGGGTGGATGGAGCCAAGGTGTGGGACCGGCACTGCAAAATCTGGTGATAGGAAGTCGAAAAAGTGCTTCTGGTGGGTGACATTAATAGGGTCCAGGAGATTTTCTTCTGATTTGCTCTCAAGTTCAGAGCAACCTGTGGGCAGCCAGGTCAAGCAGACCCTTCATGTCACATGCATTGGATAAGCATTCTCTGTCCTCTTCATTTAGCCACAGTAGCTTGTTTATACTCTGTGATGACTCAGGGTTCCTCAATTTTCTCTTTGAGAGAAGGACACTGACCTTTGAAAATAATGAAAGGAAGGAATCTAAGAGAAGGGGCTCATCCAGACACAATATAGGAATGGTCCCTGCCCGGTCTCCATGCGCTCACAAGAGGGGATGTAACCTTTGCCTGCACTGTACCTGTCAGGATTTCCCATTTCATCACTCAAAAGGTGGCTGAGATTTTGCCTTCACCTTTATCCTGCCCATGCCAGCATGCAGCCACATGGTCAGTGTACGTACTTAGATTTCAGTCAGGGTACATGCTCACCAGGTGACGAGAATTGCCTTTGTTACAATGTCTACTTGCTACAGAATTCTACCCAGATTTTAAAATATATCTCATCAAATACCTAAATGTATTAAACCTGAAAGTAAAAAGCATAGGACAAGGTTTTAGAAATGCTAAATCTGAATTTTATAATCTGTTTCATCAGTTATGGTGGTAGTTGGAAGTCCTTCCAAAGCCCTGGGGCTTGAAGCAGGTTCAATGGTAAAAGCTTCGGCAGCTTCCCTCTGCTGCTGTAGATGCAATCTTTATTTTTGGGTCTAAATCCTGCTATCACTCTCATTCACAGCCTTTACCTATAATGGTTGTTTTCAAACTTAAAAAAAAGATAGACACCTATCTTCAAAAAATACAAATATTTAGATCTAACCCCAATAGAGAAAACCAAAGCTGAACTGCTTTGGCTCAAGTAGGAGGCTATGACTCTGTCACTCTCCTCGGAGGAACCCTAGGGCAGTTTTAAAGTATAGTACCCTATTGAAAGAGCTGAGCTTAGCTGTGTGCCCTTTCCCAGCTCTTATTTTCCCACAGAAAAGAGACTAGATTCTTTAAGGAGATATAAAGAAGGGAGATATAAAGATATAAAGGTTCTTTAGGGAGATACAGAGACATCCTCTCATCAGATGGAAATGCCAGCTAGGTGGCTATTCACATGCATTATTTGCCCTTAGTAATTCCATAGCAATCTGCAAATTCAATCAGCTTCATTGGCAGAAAACTTTGGCTGAAACCATGTGTACAAGGCTGTATTCTTAAAGTAAAACATTTAAATCCAAGTTTTTCAAACACACATTTCAAATGGTTTTATGATATCAAGCACACCCCAGTGACATCTTTACATTCACCAAAATTTGGTGTCCTTGGGTTTTTAGAGCAGTGAGTTTCTCAGGTGTGTCAACTGAATAGAATTTGTTAAATTCTGGGTGTTTTATTATTTTTTTTTTTTTCTGAGATGGAGTCTTGCTCTGTTGCTCAGACTAGAGTGCAGTGGTGCGATCTTAGCTGACTGCAACCTCCGTCTCCCGGGTCCAAGCCATTCTGTAGCCTCAGGCTCCCAAGGAGCTGTGATTACAGGCATGGGTACACCACCACACCTAGTTAATTTTTGTGTTTTTAGTAGAGGCAGGATTTCACCATGTTGGCCAGGCTGGTCTCAAACTCCTGACCTCAAGCTATCCACCTGCCTTGGCCTCCCAAACTGCTGTGATTACAGGTGTGAGCCACTGCGCCTGGCCAAATCTGTTAAATTTTGTTTCCTTGTAACAAATATACAAGATTACACAATTGCGTCTTGTATTCTTTCTTCCTTTCTTTTACTTATTAATTCATTCAGCCCTCCTATGGGCCAGGGCAGGAATGTAGTGGTGAGCACAACAACAAAAAATACATTTTGGGTTTGATATTCTTCAAGGGTGGGACATAGCTAGATTATTTTCCCTTTTGTAGACGAGGAAACTGAAAATTGCTTTGCTTTTCTTGATTCCATTGCCCAATGTTCAGTAGACAGGTATAGATGAAGGGGTACAGCTCAAAGTCCCCATCCCTACTTTGCTGTTTGAGCCTATGATTTATGCCACCTCCATATAAGCATGTGCAAATAAAATATTCAGTAATCACCATGGATGCAGCTGTGCCTGGGACCTAAAGGCCCTAAAATGAAAATAAATGTAAACTGTGCATTTCATGCTCTATTTTTAAAAAGTTTGTTTGGAATGATTGAACATTTTAGTAAAATGGACTTCGCTGTTTCCACATGAGGAAATTTTGTTCTTTTATTTTGTATTTATTCATTTTTTGAGATGGAGTCTCACTCTATCACCCGGACTGTAGTGCATTGGTGTGATCTCGGCTCACTGCAACCTCTGCCTCCCAGATTCAAGCAATTCTCCTGCCTCAGCCTCCTGAGTAGCTGGGATTACAGGCGCACGCCACCATGCCCCGCTAATTTTTATATTTTTAGTGAAGACAGGGTTTCACCATGTTGGCCAGGCTGGTGTCGAACTCCTTACCTGAAGTGATCTGCCCGACTCAGCCTCCCAAAATGCTGAGATTACAGGCGTGAGTCACTGCACCTGGCCTATTTTGTTCTTTTAAATGGTGGCGTGTCCCCTTTTAATACAGTGTTTATCATAGATAAACTTTATTATTCAGAAACTTACAATTATTCCATTTGGCTGTCTTTTAGTTTATGAAATTATTTGGAACACAAGCTTGAATACATAATTCTGAACTCATACGTGAACTGGGCTAAATTTGAGTATTTGTACCATAATAGTGACAATATTGTTAATTAAACATGTGTTTCACATGGAGATATTTATATCACTGACATATGGTCATTTTCATTATTGATTTGGCAGTTTTTTAATATTCACAAAACACAAAATTTTGAAATATAGTAGTCAGAGTGATTTGATTTGTGCCATTTGTATTGACGTAACCTCTCTTCTTGGTGCACTAGCAGTAAAAAAGAAAATCAGCACAGATGGGTTACACAGACTTAAAGAGTTTGGAAATCATCAGTCTAGAGCCAAGATCTCAAACAAGTGGGCTGGATCTGGCACACAGAGGTGTTCTTTTAAAATTTTAATTGCCAGCATTTAAAAATCGAAAGATTTCATATTTTTTGAAATCCAAATTTTTCAGCTTCTCTTGAAATATCAGAAGATCTGTCAGTATTGAGCCCTCATTCCTATTTGGCTATACTAGGCCGGAGCCAAATGGCTGCTGTTTCTTTAGCTGGAGCATGAACTCTGAAGTTTGCTACAGTCTTCGGCAGACCCTGTAGTCCCCTTGACACCACGGACAAGGGTTGGTTGCCATTATCTGAATGTTTTACCTCTATAGACATTTGAGTTTTCAATCCGAGGTCTAGATAAAATTGAGGCTGCAAACTTAAGGTCATCCTTTCTCTCAGAGTATCGGCTTGCTAATTTTCAGGCGTACGACATGGGGTGACGATCATATTAAGGGGGTGCTTTAAAAGGGTTGAGGGCAAACATTTCGGGGGGGGATACTTTCTGATGATGGCACTTGATTAAGGAGCACTGACAGGTACGGGTGTTTTGTTTAATTCTGGAGGATTCCTGTAGTCTGCTTTGGTGCTTTTCACACTTTAACATGCAGATTCTGATGCAGCAGGTCTAGAGTAAGGCCTGAGATTCTGTACTTCCAACAAGCGCCAGGTTACACCACTGCTAATCTGAGAACCTGCCTCTCTGAATAGCAAGGGAACTGCCTTAAAGCAATCCTGAGAAAAATCAGTCAGGCAATGATGGTGCTAATGTTAAGAACATTCACTTTTCTTTGACCTGAGAAAGAAAAAGAGATATGAACCAAGGTATTTTGGGTTGAATCTTCCGAGATAAATCTGGATCTACTTTGAGTTGCAACACAGGAGGTGAAAAATCAATTATTTTCAATGCAGTATAGCACATGGGAAGATAAATCTAACTTTGATTTTAAAATTTGTTTTAAATTATGTGCTTCTGGTAAAAAAAAAAAAAGCTAGATATGTTAAAGCTCAAGATTTATGAAATGTAGGGATTAGAACTTTTAATTTTAGGAAAATATGGGGCTGTTAGAAAACTTATAAATAAGAACACAGAAAATAGGATAATTATCAAATCCCTGGATAGATGATAACCTTGTAAGCTATAAAATGATTTTTAAAAGTTGGAAACGAGGAAATCAACAGTTTCAAATGTATACAGTCCTGCAGTGAAAAAGTATAATTAAAATGAAAAAGAGCCGGTTGTGGTGGCTTATGCCTGTAATCCCAGCACTTTGGGAGCACAAGGCGGGTGGTTCATGAGGTCAGGAGCTCAAGACCAGCCTGACCAACATGGTGAAATCCTGTCTCTACTAAAAATACAAAAAATTATCCAGGCATGGTGGGAGGCACCTGTAAAAACCCAGCTACTCAGGAGGCTGAGGCAGGAGAGTTGCTTGAACCCGGGAGGAGGAGGTTGCGGTGAGCCGAGATCACGCCGTTATACTGCAGCCTGGGAGAAAGAGCAAGACTCAATCTCAAAA